ACCCACCACCCACCCACACCCACGCCCACCCACCCACCCACACCCACACACACACCCACACCCACCCACACCCACCCACACCCACCCGCACACCCACACACCCACACGCACACGCACACGCACACGTACACAAAACCCACACCCACACCCACACCCACACCCACACCCACACCCACAGCCACCCACACACACCCAGACCCACACAAATACACACCCACACACACATCACACACGCACGCCCACACACACCCGCACACACCCACACACACACACACACACACCCACGCAAACACGCACGCACGCGCGCACGTACGTACGCGCGCACGCACGCACGCACGCACACACACATATACTCAGCTATATTCACAGAACAATAGGTGTATATATATACACATATAGGTATACAAGTATATGCATGTATGCGTACACATATGTATGTATATACATACACAGGTATGTATACGCATGCGTGCCCTGAACCCCCATTGTGCACTTACGATACGAACGCGTGTATGATTGTTACGATGATTGCACTCAAGTTTGACGCTTCTTTTTGAAGGGTTGTCCGGGTCAGTCTCGGAGCGATGCTCGCCCCTTGCAAATGCAGCCGCTTCCTCCAGCCCACGAAAAGGTCTGGGTAGTGGTAGTCGGTCGCGTCGCTCCATTGCTCGGACTGCAGCTCAGGTGAGGAGACTCCCACTACTCAGCAGCCTCCGTCTCCTACACAACACCCAACATTCAACAAGCTCCCTCCCCAAGCTGACCTTGCAAAATAACCTTCTACCCTACCCCCTCAGTCTACAGCACAGCACCTAATATTCAACAGCCTCCGTCCCCGACGCAACGTGCAATGCCCAACAGGCTCCTTCCCCAAGATGCACGCGAGCATGAAGAAATAACTTTCTACTCTGCCCCCTCCGTCTACAGAATAACACCGGGCCTGGACCAGTCTCCGCTTCCAACACAAACACCCAAAACTCAACATGCACCCTCCCCACACTGAACTTGAGAAACGCTTTATACTCTACCCCCTCCGTCTGCCACACAACACCCAGTACTCAAATGCCTCTGTCTCCAACAACACTCAATACTCAGCTGGACCCCTCCCCAAGCCCAGCTTGCACTACAACACCTAGTGCTCAACACGCTCCGTCTCCAACACACGAACCAACCCACTCCGAAACCCTGCCTCCGCGGTCGGCCCACGCACCTGAACCGTTTTTTTATATATTATTATTATTGTTATTATTATTATCTCTCGCCATCTTCCACGAAGGAAAGGGGTTTCATGGTACGCGAGGAGAGCTACATATATATATATATAGTCATACATGGAAATACGCACATCCATACATCCATACATACATATATACATGCATGCATCCATACCTACAGGCATCACACATACGTACAGACACCATACATGCATGCATATGTGGTGCAGCCTATGCGGTGCAACATGTGTGGTGTAATGTGTACGGTGCAGCCATTGTTGTGCAATCTATGTCGCGCTGATCACAACAGGGTGACGCAACACAGTGCAACGCAACGCACATAAAGCCATGCAAACGAATGTGACGCAATGCGACACAGAGCAAGGCAATGCACGGCACCTGACAACACTGCAAAGCCAGGCAACGCCATGCACACCATGCAAAGCCATGAGACGCAGAGAAGCGCGATGCCAACCCATGCGACGCAGTGCACAGCACTGGAACGCGATTTACACAGCACAAAGTAACGCAACAACGCAACATAGCGCAATGCAAAGCAATGCGCCGCAGTGCAACGCAATGCACCGTCACACTTTGCCATGCAACGCACGGCATGGCACTGCAGCGTCATTCGAAGCACTGCGGGCCCAGGCGGGGGGCGGCGACGGGGCGGCGACGCGGCGGCGCTGGGGGCGGCCACGGCGACAAGTTTTGCCGCCAGGCCGACGGCCAGGCGCAGGCAGCGGGCGGCGACGGGGCGGCGACGTGGCGGCGGCGGCGACAGCATGGCCGCCAGCCCGGGCGAGCTCGATAGGAGTGGAAGTGGTCCGTGCACGCGGGTCTGAGTGTGGCAAGGCTGGGTATTGGTGGACCTGCGCGTGAGAGGTCTGAGCATGAGCGAGTCGGAGTATCGGTGGATTTGTTGTTGTTGTTGTTGAGTGCGTGTGTGTGTGTGTGTTTGTGTGTATGCGTTTCTGTGTGTGTGTGTGTGTGTTTGTGGCATGAGTGTGAGTGTGTGAGCGCGAATGTGCCTGAGTGCGAGTGGATCACTGAGACTGGGAGTCGGCGGGAGTGCGACGAGGCGGAGGCGTCTCACTGCTAACACTAACACAATAATGATGTTGATGCTGATTGCTGACGGTGGTGATGCTGATGCTGATGTGATGATGGTAGGGGTGGTGATGACAGTGGTGATGATGATGTGATGGACGTGATGTTCAGAATCCGGGTGATGGGAATGGGGATTATGATGGTGTTGATGATCATTGTGCGGATGATGATGGGGGTTACGATGATGACGGCGAGGAGGCTGATGTTTGTAATGATGATGTAGGTAATGAGGATGTTGACGATAACGGCGATGATGATGATGACAATGCAGATTGTGATATTAATGAGTATGAGGATGATGGTGAACTGTTGATGATGATAATGATGATGACGAGACTGATGAAGATGATGGTGAGGTTGTTGTGTATTATTGTTATGCCGATAGGGATGATGCGGATTATGATGAGGATGATGCTGGTGATGGTGATGATGAGTATGCTGTTGCTGATGGGGATGATGATATTGATGACGATGTTAACGATGATGATGCTGATGATGATGATGATGATGATGATGGCGATGATGGCGATGATGATGATGATGATGATGGCGATGATGGCGATGATGATGATGATGATGATGATGATGATGATGATGATGATGATGATGATGATGATGATGATCATGATGATCATGATGATAATGATGATAATGATGATAATGATGATGATGATGACGATGGTGATGATGATGCTAAGGTCGATGTTGATGATGCTGATGCTGATGCGGATGCGGATGCAGATGATAATGATGATAATGATGCTGGTATTGCGGATGATGATGATAGGGTTGATGATGTTGCTGTTGATGATCACGATGCTGATGACGTAGATGATGATGCTGATGATGATGGTGATGATGATGGTGATGATCATGATCATGCCGATGCTGATGATGACGATGATGATGATGATGATGATGTTGATGCTGATGATGAGTATGCTAATGGTGATGCTGATGCTGATGCTGATGCTGATGCTGGTGCTGGTGCTGGTGCTGATGCTGATGATGGTTATTATGGTGATGCTGCTGATGATGATGACGATGATGATGCTGGTGACTTTGATGCTGCTGCTGCTGATGCTGCTGATGATGATCATGATGGCTGTGGTGGCCATGAGGAGGAGAAGGAGGAGGAGGAGGAGAAGGAGAAGCAGCAGCAGGGGGAACAAGGGTGGTGGAGGAAGACGACGGCCAGGACGGGGAGAAGGAGTGGCTGGATGAGGAGGAGGAGGAGGAGGAGGAGGAGGAGGAGGAGGAGGAGGAGAAGGAGGAAGACGAGTGAGCGAGCAGCAGGAGCGGTGTCTGAGCATACGAGCACCGACCGCCTCTGGAAACCATGTCGTGGAGCGCGCCGAAGGCGAACTCTATGGCAGGGAGGGTGGAAGGCCCAGGCGGCCTCCCCCCTCCGCGGAGGACGCGGCGTTATCGCCGAGTCTTCCGTTGCACTCCCCCTCCCCGCGCCGGGTCTGGACGCCTTCGCCATCCGCTGCTCGACGAGAGTTTGAAGCCGCTCGAGCGGCATCGGTCGGGGAGCGGAAAGTCGGCGTGGGAGCCAGGCAGCTGGAGGCACGCCGCGATCAGCCGCGCGCGCGCGCGCCTCGGCATCCCCGATGCCCGCCGCAGCAGCCGCGCCAGCTGCGGCTGCAGCAAGGACTGCAGGAGCCTCCCCAGCACCAGCACGATCAGGAAGGGCGACCGCTGCCGTCGGTCGCCCGCCGTCAGCCCACGAGTCATCGGGCAGCTGCTCATCCTCCATGTCGTCGTGCATCGCGTCGTGAAGGGGCGCCACGTCAGCAGCAGCTTGAACAGGCCGAGGGCCAGCTCCAGCTGCGCCAGCCGGCGCCGCCCTACCCGCGTTCGGTATCGGGCACCAGCCGCCGGCGCGCCGCCAGGTGCACCTTGCGGCGCCGCCTCCGCGCGGCCTCCGCCGCAGAAGCGGCAGGCCTCGCAGCGGGCGCCAGCAGCCCATCCCCACGCCCCACGCCCAGCTCCTCGACCGCATCCCGGCCCCAAGCCGCAGCCGGGCTCCACGCCCCGCCGCCTCCGCGGCCGCCGCGCCTCGCATCGGCGCCAGCGCGAAGCGCGCGGCCGAGACGGCGGAGCGGGCGACGGCTGCGGCCGCGCGGCGGGGGGTGCCGCCTCTTCTGCGGGGCCCAAACACATACGCCGCCACCACCTCCCTCACCCCCTCGCTCTCCCAGGAAAGAAGAAAGGCATAGGAGGGTAGAGGAGGGAGGAGGAATCGACGTGGTGGTTGTGTATAGTCTTGGGGCCCGAATTTTCCCACGGCTGCCCGCACCGCGGCCTCCACCGGGAGGGCCGCGTCGGCAGCAGAGGGTGCGCCTCTCTCGTCCCCGCCGTCCTGCAGCAGCGCCTCGCCGAGAGGGGGGGCGGGCGCGGGCGAAGCCGTGCAACCGCTGGAGCCAAAAGGAGGAGGAGCGAGGGATGAGGAGGAGGGGGAGGAGGAGGAGGCGAAGGAGGAGGAGGAGGAGGAGGCGGAGGAGGAGGAGGAGGAGAAGGAAGAGGCGGAGGAGGAGGAGGAGCGGGCGGAGGGGGGCAAGGTGGGGGGGGGGGGGGGGAGGAGGGGTGCGGGGGCTAATGGAAGGGGGGGGTGGAGGCCGAGGAGGACAGCAACGACGGCGACGACGGCGGCGTCGGCGACGACCTGCCGAGGCGGGGCGCGCTGGGCCCGTCGATCGCGCCCCACGAGCTGGACGCGCTGCTGTGCGCGGCGATGCTCTCCGCCGGGGCGCCCCGCCCACCGCGATGCGAAACTCTTCGTCTTCTGCTGTGG